TCCCTTGGCTCTTGTCTCCATTTCAGGCTGGAAGTGTGAGCTGTTGCCAGGCAACCCTCCTGATCTTGCAAGTGGGAAAGAGCCGAATCGTGATTTCCGGTCTCGTTTCTCCACTCCCATTGGCTCTGCTTCAGTCATCGACACTGATTCCTGCTGATCCACATTGTGGATCAAATAATTACCGTCACATCCCAGTGTGTTAGCATTATGTTTTCATTTTTTTACATTTTAAATTGCAAAACAATTCTCCCTAAACAAAATGAAATATTTGACTAAATGACTAAAGCAATGTTGAAAATAGAGGAAATGTGAGTATATAACACTGATCTCACATTATATGCCTATAGGTTTGTTTGAAAATGTAATCTTACCTGTTACACTGTTAAAATAATATGCTACACTCAAAAGATTAGAAATGTTATAATGGGCTTCGTTTGTGCGATTTATGTACAACGGCAATGAGATTCGCCATACTGTGTGACAAGTAAAATCGCACATGCTGTATGGTAGTTCAAGTACTCTGGAACTGGTATCGCAGATACTCAATCTTCTGTCAGCACTCATGAAAATATTCTTCTTTCCAGCATGGAGGCCCACAGGCCACACCATAGTGGCAGAAAACGTTGATGTTTGAAGGGTTGCTGCACTGTTGTGAAGTGTTTCTCATTTATACCCAAGTGCACTTTGAAGTGGGGAATGTTTATCACTCCTGTGGGGCCAGAATGCCGAATTTACCTGTATAACAAGCGGAGCAAGCGGACAGCACACACACACGTACAGTACCTGTTCAGTTGTGTCACAGTGCCCTGCTGTCAGCTTCCTCAGCAAAGTCTGCTGTGTATTTCAAAAGAGCAGAGGGAGTCTGATAGTGTTGCCAAGGCGTCAGTCACAAAAAAAGCTTTTCTTGTAATTGTAATCCTTCACTTTCCTTGTAATTCTGTTTCATCCGTGGTTCCATCCCTTTTCTAACAGCGTTATCCAATTAACGGTCTCTGGGGAGCCGGTGTCTATCTGGGCAAGTAACAGGCACAAGGCAGGGTAACCCTGGACAGTCCATCTCGGGGCAGACACAGACACGGACACACACTTACACCAGGGCCAGTCCTCACCAGCATGTCTTTGGACAGGAGGGAGGGTGGAGGGAAACTGTAGCACTCGGAGGAAACCCATGAGAACACGCAAACTCCGTGCATACAGCACCTTGGCGCCTGGAAGCACTGTGATGTTGCAGCGCCATGCTGCCCTGATTCTGTTTCCATGACAGAAAAACGTTTTTTGACTTCCGCTTGTATGAGTTTGAAATCACGGACAATAAGGTGAGGGAAAGTAAAAGTGCTAAAGACTAGCTTAGGACTGTGTTAAATATCACCTGATTTAGACTGTAGTAGTACAGAGATTACAAGAGTGGGATGATCTCAGAAATGTGGAGATCTGGAGACAGAAGCAGAGTAGCTGCCAAATCTTATTGAAATGTGAGCAAAACACATTGTGAAACGTTTTCTTCCATAGGTGTTAAAAAAAACTACCAAGAAAACTTTTCAGTGGTGACTCCACAAATATACATTGTGCAACGTCTTAGGCATTTCTCTTTGTTTTGTACTTGTAAACTTTATGATCTTCCACTGAAATTAAAATTTAATTTTAACCTAATGATTAGTTTGTGTAGTCAAAAATTCACCTTGTGTAGTCGCAAAAAGACACCTTCTATAGCTTTATTGGTGCGTAGAGAATAGCAAATGATGTTAATGAGCTGGAACACCTGACAGTAAGTCAATTAGGTCTGATCGATTGACCTTGTCTTGCTGTGATTACGTTTTTGAAGATTCTGCTCAATGTGAATTAAAGATGCTAAAGGACAGGCTTGTTAGTTTATAAGAGTCAAAGCTGTTACAAGAGTAGAAAGCACTAATGGAGGCCTGTAATCAGTTGTTGATGCTCATAACACACATATACAGTATATATACTGTAGTAACAGCTGATTGTCTGTACTGTCTAAGGCTTGCGCAACAGTGTAAATGTAACAAGTTGCTCGTGACATGAGAGGTGTGGTATGTGTTCGGGCATTTACCCTCTATCCAAGACTCCTGACAATTCGACGCAGTTAGAGTGACTGGATCTGACCTGCCTGCTGCTGCTCCAGCTCTCGACGCCTAGACTGTGCCTCCTTCCTGTCTGGATACAGTATAGCTCCCCAGGAACACTGTGCCCAGGGACCTCTGCTATTACACCTCAAGCTGCTCTTGCAGCTCTAGTTCTAAATTGTAATTTACACATATTTTGCCGAATGAGAGAAGCACACATATGCATTCCAAACAAAAAAAATATTTCCTTTAGTGCCGTTTTACACTCGAGGAAAAATAAAAGGGTTCTTTGGAGAAACAGCATGAAGTGATGGCTCTTTACAGGCCGTACTTAGAAGTGAGTAATCTTAGACAGCCCTGCAAAAAGAGGTGGCAGATCAAGAAGCAGCAATACAGCCCGTACTGTTGGGCCCTGATCCCTCACTGGGTCTCTGAGTGCTGAACCCATTACTGTCAGGGGAGAACAGGCAGGACCTGAAATGGATCTTTGATTTTGCTAGAAGCAATTAAGGAACAGTGATATCTTGAGTCTTATGTCGGGCTGTTACAATAAAGAGAGTAAGAAACTACTCCCACTTTACTGAAAATGAAACGCACTAAAGGACCTGTTAGTTTGTTCCTGTTAAGTGCAGAACTGCTAAAGGGATCTCACTGCTGAGTCAGAGGACAATTGTTGTTTTATCCATTTGCTGTTTAGAAGAACTGAGTCTGCATGAACTTAATGGTAACTTCTTTTGTTGTGCTTAATTTATTTGGTCATACGTGCAGAAGAGATTTTATGTCTGTATGGGGTGTCATCATAGTAGTTGGTTGCAAATACTCTTCCAACCAAACCTGTTTGAGCAGCTGTCCACAAGACGCTAAGAAGGGCAGACGAGCTTGTAAAAAGAGCGCGTGCAGCCCTGCTCAAGGGGATTCGCAGTCTGCGGGTGGGTCATATAGAGGGCTTTCCGCAGTCCACAGTCTCCGAGCTCGCACCAGTAATGTAATGAAACAGTCCGATGAAACCATTTGGAGCACAGACTGAACAAAAACCTGGCCCCAGCCATGCAAAGGGGGCGACTGTCTGGCAAGACTGTGACAGACAAGGTGAAACTGCTGGCCATCACCTCTGCCTTTTACAGTCACACATGAGCAATTTCCGTTTTTTGGGGAATGCTTACGAATCCTTGCCTGGCTGGGAACTCTTCTTCCTCTTGTGAGTTTGGCCCTTGGCTATGCCAGCAGTGTGGTCTCTCACTGCTGTTGCACTCTGGGGCGGGTTCCCCTCCAGGCAGGGAGGGCTCTCAGAAGCCCGACTGGGAAGACGGAACAAGTCCTCCACATGAGAGGAAACATCTGGAATGACATCACAGTTCGAGAACCAGATGTTTGTTTGGGTTGAGACAAGGTGTGAATCTGGGCCAGTTTGAGGAGCCAAAACAGGACCTTTCCCTCTGTAACTGATTGCCTGGATGAAAAAACTCAACCATAATCAATGCAGACAAAAAATCTTGAAAAGAAAGAGGGGAAAGCAGTCTAAATATTAATATTTAATATGTCATACTGCCAAAATGTGTTTTATATTCTGTAATACCTTTGCATTGCGTGTTTCAAGGATGTTATGCAAGAACAGCAGTTAATTATCAGTAGAAAATAAATATACTGTCTTAAGACACTTCTCTGTAGTTTTTCTTTCTACGGGGGAGTGCAGGGTTTTACCTACAGAAGTCTGTCTACTGGTTTAAATGAGAAACCGTGGCTACAGTACGTATCTAAAGCCATGAACCTGTGGAGATTGAAAGCCCAACACTGAACTGCACCAAGGTCACTTTTATTCATTTCTAATTAACACAACAACAGTGTAACAGGGTCACATATGTGACTTCTGTGCATTGTTGAGTTGTCATATAAGGAAGAGTAATCAAGCATCGCAGTCAGCATGTGTCTGTGTAGGTTCGGTGCTCATTGGTGTCACATCTTCACAGATTGCATGTACTGTATACGTATTGGTTTCAATCTGTTGTAAATATTAGAAATTCCAACAGTAAATTACAATAGGGCTTTTATGGGTACAAGGAATCAATTATAAAAAACAAAAAGGAATACATTGTCTGCACTCGGATTCACAAAATAACATTTTATTAGTACAACAAACCATGCATAGTAAAACAACAAGAGTAATGATAAATATGAATCACTCTGCCTTGATTCACATAGCTGATCGTTCATTTACTATAGTTTGATAGTAATAACATCAGCATTAAAATACATCTACTCTCTACCACTATTTAAAGTATAGCGTTCAACATTCATATTCTTGAACACAAGTACATTTCTAATAATGTTATGATCTAAACTTTGTCAAACATGATGTAGAATCCTAATTTAGCTCTCAATGATTTAGAATGTGAACATTGAGCTTATTCCCATCCAAAGTAACACGCTGGCCAGGCCTTAATACGGAGAGCTGGAAGACCCACAAAAAGAGAACGGCTGACTGGGTTTGTCTCAGCTGTGTCCAATCATCTCCTGCCAGCGTGGCTCCAATGCCGGCACTGTCGGCATCGGGAAAGAGAGAAGGCTTGGGCTCACCATGGCTCGCATGGTTTTGTCAGCACTGCAGTCTCTAACCGGAAGCAACTGTAAACAGTGCTAGAAAGGTGACTCCCAGACTATTCTAGACTGTGGTCAAAGTGTTAGTAATCCCCCCCCCCCCGGCCAAGCAAGAATGTCTTGGACAGTCTGCAAACTGCAAAGTTTGTGCTTCGCAATCATATGACATTCTTCCTGGACGTCTGCCTTCATTCCGATTGGGATGAGGGTTGTGGGGGGTGGGACTGGACTGGTCCTTTGGGAATTGGAGCAGGAGACAGGCTGGATTCGGCAGGGCTGTAACGGGCACGTGTTTACGTCATGCTTCTCCTCTGTTTCCTGCAGCTGTCCCTTTCCCCTTAAGCCACCGGCTGACGATGAAGGAGGTGTTTGACTGTGAGGGGAAGCCGCGCGTCGACCTCCTGAAGGCTCACCTCACGAAGGAGGGGCGGGTGGAGGAGGCGGTGGCCTTGAGGATAGTGAACGAGGGGGCCTCCATCCTCCGCCAGGAGAAGACCATGTTGGACATCGAGGCTCCAGTCACAGGTACACGGACCCTCTGCCCTGGGCTTAGCAGTGGCATTACACCCCTACATGAACATAGCCCTTGGAGGAAAGGTTTTAGCATGATGAGCAAGGTAGTATTCATGCTGAGCCCATTTAAAACTCTGAAAATGCCTTTGAAATAGAAATGTCATATTGGCAAGGGTGCTACAAGGAATTTAGAGGGTGTTCCCATGTGCTGCCCTCCAGTTGGACCTTTCTGCTTTGTCACTGATCTCGTGCTGTATTGAATTTGTACCAATTCCTCGTTCTTCATGTTTGAGTCCTTGGGAGTTGCTCAAGGTATTCAGGAACTCAGTAGCTTGGATTGCAAATCCTCTAAGGTATGACCTCAGGTGCGCAGTTGCAGGTTGGTGACCTGTAGTGACCTGAGCTCAGAGGACGAGGGGGAATGCAACAGGCAACTCTGCAGCTGGAGCAGCCAGAGAGAGAGAGGAGCGTCTGGTCGCAAAGCAGACGCTGCTGTCTCAGAAATACGTACTGTACCTGAAGCTCAAGCCACTCAGGAGTATTATGTGTCCAATCTGTCTCTTTCAGTTTGTGAGTCAATTTCCCTGTTAATAAGCTGCTTATACAGGGAATCAATGTATAGAGCCATTACTGTAAGCGTGGACTAAACGAGCACACAGAGGTAAGTGCTGTAAGAATTGCTCTGTTTCTGATGCCCGGAATACTTACAGATAACATTAATTAAGTGGCTGTTTGCCATCTCAGTCTTTTGACTATTGAAGGTGATTTGAACTGTACTTTACATAAAACATTGATTAACAGAATGTTCAAAGTGCTAAGTGAGTGTTTTTTTTTGCTGAGCATCTCTTTCATTCCTTCCAAAAAACTGACCGAGTGAAATGATTAAACTGAGCTGAAGACAGCGCAGAACAGTACAACCTGTCACAATTTAATCAAATGTAATACAATTTAATTGTGATTCAAGACTGAAGTTTGCACAGCGTGACATCAGAGTGGATAATTGCTGGATTCAAGATCATTACTCTTGCTTGTAAGTTTAGTGTAATTTTCCTGTAAAAAAAATCTCAACCTTTCTTAAGGACTATATCACTGCTGTATGCTCCCAGGTAATGAAGAAACCTTTGAAATTGTTGTTGGCAGGAATGTGTCAGACCAGTAGGAGTCTTTAGCACATTGTTTCTCAAATTAGGGGATTTCTAGCTAACTGGAGTGCACCCCACTGTGCTGAAGTACCATGTCAGCTGCATCACTGTGAAGTGATACAGTTCACCGTGACTGAGGTCAGTACAGCGTTCAGACATCGCCTCTAGACTGGGCCTTGGGAGCCCGAGCTTGGGAGCTCGGAGCCCGAGACTGCGCAGGCAGTCTGCCGAAGCCTCTGCTGAAGACGGACAGCGGCCCCTGCAGGGGGCTGGCAGGGAGACTGTACATGTTCGGAAGGACGTGTGCTCTTCATCCTCTCACACCGCCCAGAGGACAAGGCCGGCCTGTCAGCCTCACTGTCACCCCTTCCACGTGCATCTGGAAAAGGTAGCTCAGCAGTGACATGCGTGATATGTGTTCTGAAATACTACTGTTACTAATGTACAACAAGCTTACTAATTCGCTAAATCATGACCTCCCAGCTCATAAGCAGAAATATTAGTGATCTAAAAAACAGAGATGAAACAAGATGGATCGAATGAGTCTCTACATATATCCACCAACTCTAGAATTTGCAATCTTCAATGCAAGATATGATTGTAGTGTTTATTTGCGCACAGATGGCTGCGTGCCATTACAATCGGAGAAGAATAGGCCCAAGAACGAGAGAAGCATCTCTCCGTTTCTGTATTTAAACAACAGCATTTCAGCCCAGAGCGTCGGGGTCAAGGCTGGCCGGAGCCCGTCCCGGCAGCACAGGGCAGGGGGCATGGCTCCGAGCTGGACAGACAGAGGTCCTCCTCGGGGTTCCCTCTCCCAACACACACAGGCACACAGGGACAGGAACCCAGCCAGCACCCCTGTTGTGACAAGGGACACAGAAACAAACAATACTGTAAGGAGGAGAATGAGTAAGATTTCCCACTGTGACTTGACCTCCCATGTAATACATTTCTGGGAAGTTATACCCAAGGCCAAAGAGCAGGTACGCGATGTCTGTCCATCACAACTGTGGGATGTACACCTGCATACTGCAGCAGCCAGCCTTGCGAGAGGCAGTCTCCGAACTCTTGCTCATGACCTCCCAGCTCATAAGCAGAAATATTAGTGATCTAAAAAACAGAGATGAAGCAAGATGCATCGAATAACAGAGGATCATCTTGTGCTCAGAGAACTCGCATTTCTAACCCCCTGCTCTGTAAGGAGGGAGCTGCTCTCATATCACCAGCTAGCAATAAAAGATTCAGATAGAGTTTGTCACATTCAGGCCCAGCAGGGCTCAGTCTGCAATACAA